GAAATGGTTAAACTGTTTTCATGGAATATAATCAATAGATTCAAACTGCAATGAAGTCACTATCAACAGGTTTCCAGTTGTCTCCTCAAACAAATTACACAGAACACACTTGTTTTGTCATCAATAATTGTAAAATGTTTGGTACCAAGCTTTCAAGTGTTTTCTGTCTAATGACTAGTTTGTCTATTTTGACAACAATGTTATGAAAATTGGGCAAATATTCTCGAGAAAAACCAATTTCGTTTCTGAGACAGGTCTGCCAAAAAAATGCTAAGTGTCCCACTGACATGATCATGAACTGTAACTCTGCACAAAATATCTAGAAATGGAAGGCGTATTAGGCCTACTTCAAGCTTTCTCTGCATTTCGGTGCTTGCTTGATACAACGTGTCTTTTTAATGCCATTTTCCCCGCCAAATTTAACTGCGAAATCACATGAGCAGGTGCGCACACACCTGACCTTTTGATGAAATTCTATGTTACGCGGTATTCATCCCAAAATTTCTGTGCGTAGTTTTTTCCGCACCTTTCTTGCTGGTTAATTTGCCTTACGACGATGCCATTTTTGCTTTATACCCAGACGGACTTGGGGCCTGCCAAATCACCACATGTGTCCAGCATTGCTACACAACCCTACACATGCAGTTTCATTGCCAAGCAACGTAGCTATCTGCAGGTCCTAGAGAATACGTGCACCAATAACGCAGGGCAGAATTAGCCAACAGAGGGCGTCATTATCAGTGGTCGCACAGTCTTGCAGTCAAGACAATAATACAGCACACAAAATACGGTACATCATGCAGCTTATACAATGCAGAGAGAGGTTTAAATCTACGCTGTTATTATCTTTTAGCCATAGGGTTTAAAACACAGAAGATTTATAAATGTATGTTATTGCAGAATAACGGAAGACTGCCGTCAAATACGGAAACCTTCCGTAAAATGTGGAAGAGTTGGCAGCTCTGGCATAATTGACGAAACATGAAAAATATAGAAACTTACATGTACAGTACCCTTTCTACATAGTAGAAATTAATTAACAAGTATTTTAGGTTCTGCATGAGGATTTATGCTGCATATTTTGACTAAATTCCAAGTCAGCAAGTGTATATACGCCAATACCCACATTATCTAAACCCTTGAAAAATCCCACTGGGCTATCAGAACACCAGTTAATGATAAAAATACTACTAAATGAAAATACAACTCTATCTAAAATCAATGAGACAAATGTCCATTCTGAAAAGTGAAAACCAACCAAAAGGTGATATTTTTGCAAACTCTGGCTGCCCACAAAAGTTGTAGGCAAACCGAGCATGGTCTATTCTAGTACTAACCTTCACAGGTTGGCTGCTCTGCATTCCAGACTCCTGTATTCCCTTGTCGCTGGCATTCAATGCTGGCATTGCCATTCAACACAAAGCCTGGCTGACACTCAAACTGGCAGTCAGAGCCATAGATGAACTGTGATGATGAGCACATCCTCCTCTGACCAGAGAGGAATTGGAGAGCTGGACACTGGATCACTACAAATGTCAATTAAGAGTTGAAGACTTTGTATATCATAGTACCTTTGTGTAATACCAATATCAAATTTAGCATTTCCAACCTTGGTGCTCTGGGATGGTCTCGGTATAGGAAAAAGAATTAAACCTTTCCATCCCATTTAGGTAGGTGAGATCTGGTTCCGTTCTCTGAAAGTGGCTTGGTTTTGATGAGCAGATAACCTTCTTTTTGAGCAATGCTTACACGTTCAATCTTTGTTTGCAAGGATACACTACAAAATATAGCAACAATTCAAATGGTCTAAACTTCTTCTTTTCTTTCTGTATCTGTTTCTTTTGGCAAAATAGACAGATACCCAAATGGAACTGTCCAACGATAAACACACAACTAAGTCACATGGACTTGGCTAATTTGGAATTTGGGTAAATTTGGACAAAGTTTACAAACTTCACATGCTCTGCAATATTTGGGTTTTTGTTACTTGGCCCTGCTGAAATGATAGCAACAGACACTGAGTGGAATTTTCTGACGGACAGGCAAGAGTTTTAACTAGTATATGCCATATCCTGTGAGAGGTGTCTTTGTATGCAATTACTCCAAACCTTGAACTGATGTTAACAATGACTCGCTCACCTTGGACTATGACGGTGAATGAACATGTTGCAGTGTTTCCTGCCTCATCTGTGGCCCGGTAAGTGATTGCATGAGAACCTCTGCTGAACATCGATCCTGGTGGTAGACTTCCATGAGCAAGCTCTGGGTTGATATCAAATTTGGAGTTGTCACGGACTTGTGGCAGATCCCAAGTGACATTCTTGTAGGTCTGAGAGGCATCTGCAAACTCCCTGATGGTTTCTGAGCAATTCAGAGTGGGATCTTGCACATCTGTGGGATGCAAAGTCAAAAATCACATGGCCTATTGCAATTTTTAAACAAACTTCCTTTTTTTACCTAATGCAGCATCCATACACAGCATGCATGGCCCTCAATATCCGTTTGATTCAGCCAAATGTAACTGATTCATCACACACTAAGCCTCACTCAACAAGAGGTGCTAAAACTGGTCCGTTTGATTCAGCCAAATGTAACTGATTCATCACACACTAAGCCTCA